AAACTAAATAAAGAAATAGTTAAACTAATAACCATTAAACTTTTTGACAAAGTAAGTGTTCGATATATCCACCATTTTCTTTAATTCATTTGTCAATACATTCCATAAAAGATCGTCTATTGGTTCCATCATCATTGGTTAAATTTCCACTTTAACACCCTGTATCTTTCTTAATATCAACATTTTATAAAAGCAATTTTGCTTAAATCGTAATATTTTAAAGTGTAGAATCTACGGTTTCTTTTTGTACAATTACTTAAGGACCTCCCTGTATATACCGGGTGGTCCAATAAGCCGATGTCTCGGCTATATATCGGAAAGTATTCATGTTATAACTTTAGGAGAAAAAATTCCTTAGTAAAAGTGGCCAAGAGAAATCGCTGGAAATAACTTTCAAGATTCTGGATTAACCGCTAGGGGGCGTAACCTGCGAAGAAAATTTTGAAAACCAGTTTTTTGGGAAATATGTCCAATTATACCAAGTGTTAAATAAGTAAACTAGAAAGAGGCATAAATTCTGCACAAAGTTGTTCAAGTACTTTTTTTTTATTTTTTCAAATAAAGGGTGGGGGAGAGTGGGAAAGTATTTGTGGATAAATACCTATAACTTTGGTTTGGATCAACCGATTTTAACAAAATTAGTGTCATTAGAAAGAGTATGGATGAAATAATTTACATCTACTATAAAATAATTGCATTTAGTTTTAATTGTCGTAGGTAGAGGGTACTTTCGAATAGAAAAAATTAAAATTTGTTTTTCTTCAAAATTTTTAATGGAAACATCCATTTATTGTAAATTATAATGGAACTGGATTAAATTCGTAACAAAATGGCGCAAACCGCATGTTAATAGCTTTTATTGAACTCGAGATATGAATAAAAACGCATAAACATAAGTAAGTATAGTATTGACACACCCTGTATTATAAAATAAATTAAAAAATAAGTCAGTAGGTACTTTCAAAATTTTTTATAGTAGAAAACTCTTAATGTCGATACCTATTTTGACCATTGTTATTTCATATGATTAAAAATTGTTTTTTCGAAACTAAGTAGCCTACGACAATGAATTTGACAGGGAGTTCATATTGTTTATTTATTAACAGCAGTCAAAATATTGTTAAGAAGTGTTATATGTATTATAATTCGAATTGAAAATTGCATTTTTTTCAATAGATATTAATATTGGTAATATTAGTAATTAATTATCAGTACTAATAATTCGTGATGAGTATATCAAATTGTGTGATATGATTGGAGTTTATTTCGAATATCACCAAAATGGCGCTATTGCCTCACGTATATATTCTGTAAGATATCCTGGCAGGAGATATTGTGGCAAAGAAGTAGAGATTTCGGACTACTTATATGTGGATTCTGTTGAATTAAAGCAAGAACATTGATTGAATTATGTTCGGTCATAACTCTACTACGTCGTTTAAAACAAGGACGAGAAAAACTACCAGTTTCTCTTAATCTTTTTGCCTTTCTTTCAAATACTTCTTTGCCATAATGTCTCCTGTCAGGATATCTTACAAAATATATACGTGAGGCAATAGCGGCATTTTGGTGACATTCGAAATGAACTCCAATCATATCATACAATTTGATATACTCATCACGAATTATTTGTACTGATAATTAATTACTAATATTACCAATATTAATATCTATTGAAAAAAGTGCAATCTTTAATTCGAATTATAATGTAGCACTTCTTAACAATGTTTTGACTGCTGTCAATAAATAAACAATATGAACTCCCCGTCAAATTCATTGTCGTAGCCTACTTAGTTTCGAAAAAACTGTTTTTTACAAAATAGGTATCAACATTAAGATTCTTCTGCTATAAAAATTTGAAAATACCTACTGACTTATTTTTTAATGTAATTTATAATACAGGGTGTGTCAATACTATACTTACTTATGTTTATGCGTTTTTATTCATATCTCGAGTTCAATAAAAGCTATTAACATGCGGTTTGCGCCATTTTGTTACGAATTTAATCCAGTTCCATTATAATTTACAATAAATGGATGTTTCCATTAAAAATTTTGAAGAAAAACAAATTTTAATTTTTTCTATTCGAAAGTACCCTCTACCTACGACAATTAAAACTAAATGCAATTATTTTATAGTAGATGTAAATTATTTCATCCATACTCTTTCTAATGACACTAATTTTGTTAAAATCGGTTGATCCAAACCAAAGTTATAGGTATTTATCCACAAATACTTTCCCACTCTCCCCCACCCTTTATTTGAAAAAATAAAAAAAAGTACTTGAACAACTTTGTGCAGAATTTATGCCTCTTTCTAGTTTACTTATTTAACACTTGGTATAATTGGACATATTTCCCAAAAAACTGGTTTTCAAAATTTTCTTCGCAGGTTACGCCCCCTAGCGGTTAATCCAGAATCTTGAAAGTTATTTCCAGCGATTTCTCTTGGCCACTTTTACTAAGGAATTTTTTCTCCTAAAGTTATAACATGAATACTTTCCGATATATAGCCGAGACATCGGCTTATTGGACCACCCGGTACATTATGATTGATTAGTGTGATAAAGCTCAGTAGATCCGCTATAATAATTGATAGCAATAAAAAGTAATAACAAATATGTTACATCAGGGAAATAAGCAAAAAAAGTACCCTGTTTGTGACACTCGTCCGGCCAGACAACTGACAGTTGTTTTGAGTAGTATGGACCTCTATAACAAGAACCAATATGTTTTCTGCAGTCGATTTTTTGGACTTATCATAAATATTTATTTTTTACAATAGATATTACCTCAAATTTTCCTAAAAAAAATAAAAACTGAAAAAAAAATTAGTTGGTTTATTTAACAACCTAATTATTTAAATAATACATAATCGCAATGCACGCAAAAACTATATACAAGTTAAAAAAAGAAACGTCACCATCTAAAAAGAAGAAAGAGAGATACAGTTAACAGCTACATCCCACTCCTGCGCTCTTACTAGTTTCAAAGCCGACCAATTTTCTTCTTCTTCTTTTTATACAGACATGACTCTGTCTGTTTTTCAATGTGCCTCCAGTAAGTTGTCTTCCTATTGGGAACCGTCTCTTGCCGTCTTTACTACTCTATTTGTTGTCATTCGGCTTATATGATCGTTCCATTCTACTCTTCTATTTCTTACTCAGTTTTTGATCTCCACCTTGCATCTGTCGTATATCTGTACATCTAGCTCTGTCCCATAGTGTCTTACCATCAATTTTTCTAAGTGTTTTCATCTCTGCTGTTTCTAACATCCTTTTTGTCCTCTCTGTGTCAGGTCTTGTTTCTGCCGCGTATGTCATTATTGATCTGATGACTGTTTTGTAAATTCTGCCTTTCGTTTCTTTCCCGATCTTGTAGTGTTAAAAATCTAGTTAAAAAAATGATCTCTCAAAGAATTTTTTTTGCAATAGCAAAGTCAGAAAAAAATGAACATGATCAATGATTCTCCTGGTAGCATATGCTAGAGAGAGAGTTATTTTATCAAAAGAATTTAATAAAAGTTTAAGACAAAAAGTTTAACCAAAAAACCCTCAGCCGATACTTCTTCTACCAACTGGTGATTTATCCCTTCCTATTTGAACGATTCTTGTATCGCCATTTTCCTGATTGTTCCATTTTTTTTTTCTATTTAGTGTCCATTCGTTTGTACCCTGTTCATTACATTTTTGTCTGTTATGGTCACTCCTTATGCGATTTCTCAGCCTGTTTCCTGTAATTGTTCTGAGTATTTCCATTTCTCATATTCCCATAGCCTTCTCAAGAGTTTCCCTTCAGTCTTCCCTTGTCCATCTCGTTCTTCCGCCAAGCACGTACTCCCATATTTCTCATATCATCTTACATATTATCAATAAATCTTTTTCTAGGTCTTCCCCATCTTCTCTGTATAATGAAGTGGTCAAATTTTGTAAATTAAAAATTGTTGACAAGCTTTCATTAAAAGGTTTTTAACAGGTTTAAAACAATTAGCGAGCAAAAGACCGAGACTCACATCATTGCATTGATAAAGAGATTCTGTTTTTTTTTTGGGCAACGGCTTCTTACTTGTCAAATCCAAGAAAATCAACAAGAACAACATCATTTTTGCTACATCCACATTACATATTATACCCATCTGAGCTGTCCTATTTAAATGTGTTTAAAGATATATGGTTTCTAGTATATTATGTACAGATCGAAGTTTTATTGTCTTCTCCACATACCACCGTCATTCACCACTCCATAAATTCACCTCCAGTATCTTCCTATCAAAACATCATAAACTGTTTTTATTCCTTTTTGTTACAGTCCAAGTTTCTGAGCTATATGTTAGAACTAGATGTATTATTGTTTTGGTAGAGCTTAACGGTTGGTGATATATTTGAGGATTTTGAAAGAAAATTGAGCCCATAATACCACCTCTTGGCCTTACAAGTTCTGCTGTACCTATTTATTTCTTATTTTTTATACCTGCTTTTTAAGATAGTATTAACCTAACCAGCTACCGAATTGTTGTTATATTAAATTGTATATTTAAATTTTGCGTTGGAAGTGTATGGTATTAACTTAAAACTGCTCACTCAACGTGAATAATTCCGAACGTAATAAAATACTACTTAATGCTAATTGGCAATTAATAATAAGAAAACTTAGCATTTTACATAAATATTGAAATATCATACCGCATTGTTACTTGTAATAACACTTGCCGACCTCAAACTAATAAAATAAATTCAAATGCACTTTTCCAAAGATAAAATGTAAATACGAGAGTTACTATTAATAAAACCCTGATTCGTTTGATTTAAAACATTTATAGCCAGCACTTTTAACTTCTTATCACTAACCTTTTGCGTGTGTTTTAATTAATTTCACAATATTTTATTAGTCTCGGTTCAGAACTCACCAAATTCGGTCCTCTTTTATTGAACAATTGATAATATTTAGATTTTGTCGGTGTTTTTAGTGGTGTGATAATGGTTGTTCTTTGTTTTTCACAGCCTTTACCGAAACAGCCACCACTTCAACATACTACTCTTCAGAGGCATGTCAGGGCGCATAGAAATGTCAATATACCGAGGTTTCATTTTCCTACGGGCAAGCCAGTTCCACCGGGACATTTGGACATTATTAAAACAAAGGTAAGTGTCGTATTTTTCATAGAATGCGATAAAATCTGACAGATGTAAAACTATAAATTATTACATATATATGTAGATACTCATAGTTTACATACATGTAGACTGGCTGGAGTCTGAATAAAATTGACCCGATTTGTCTTATCTCATCTTGTTTCTCAACGCGGTTTAATGTTCTGTGTGGAAATTGTACCTTTTTTCATAGAAGTACGAAACAAAATGATACAGTACAATACATTGAGACGTTTCTACAACTTAAATCTTTTTTCTGGATTTACTTTCAGTCTATCGTTGTATGTACATGGATTTCTATAATTATGCCAATTTTAAACCGGGTTCAGGAATGCTATTACTAAGGTTTTTGTATTACCTGGAGCAGACATAGGATCCTACCACAATCCCTTAGTTGCAAATATTATACTAATGCTCGCTACATTCAAAAGAAAGAACCAAAAGGCATCATTAAACGTTAGAAAATTAAAAAAAAACTATACAATGGCATCATGTATAGAAGAAAAACAATAGGACCACTAATAAAGAATCAGTTGATCATGTGAACAAACTTTCTTCTCCAAAATAAAGCAACTACCAAGAATGAGTGGATGTCAGAAGAAATATTAGAGGTGATGGAACAACGCAGGTAGTATAAGATCAGACAGGACCAAATAGGGTACCGAAATATACACAGCCAATTTTGTAAAGAAATTATAGTGACGGAATCTGGATGACCACACTTTGTACCGAAGTTGAAAACCTATATGTACTATATACTCGGCGACAGATTCAACCTCCACAAGAAAATTAAGAAAATTGCTGGGATCTTTAACAAAAAACAAGTCACTGGTATACATAATGACCAAAATGAACTAATACCTGGAAAATGTAGACAGCTAATTTGTTTACACAAAGACTACAGGAAAAAAAAGTCTCCACATTTGAACGCTGAGGTTGTACACGTTATCAAACTATTAAAAAGTACAAAGCTCCAGGACTACATGAGATGTATTCAGAAACAATCAAGTCTTAATGAAGAAAATCTAGACATTATTGTGATGATCTTTAACTATATCTACGATACGAGCCAGATTCCAAAAGATTGGCTTCGCTCTACATGTATCGTCCTCCCAAAACACCACGTTCGGAATTCTACAAGGACCACCAGCTGATAAGCCTAATGAGTCACTGTTTAAAACTTTTGTTGAGAATATTACACACAAAATATTTAAACAATGGAAAGAGGTCAGTGGCTGGAGTAGATCTCTCTCTAATTAAAGATCATAGGGCTCAATGAGCTTTGAGTCTACTGTATCAAATGCTTTCTTAATTCAATCAAATATAGAAATGCTGGTCTATTATACTCTAGTGATTTCTTAGTAATTTGCTTTATAACGAATATTGTACCTGTACACTATCTTTCACTACGAAACCCCTTTTGTTCATTTGCTAAACTTATCCTCTGATTCATTAGTTCTCGTAAAATTTTAGTTGTAAGTTTAAGGGTAGCATTTAACAAGTAATCTCTGTAGTTTTGTGGCTGCTTTTTATCTCCTTTTTTGAATAGTAGAATTAGTTCGCTCGCGCTTCATTCTTCCGGTATTTTACTGTGTTTTATAATTTTATTAGTTAATGTTGTTAATTATTCTGTCATTGCTGCTCCACAATATTTCAGTGCTTTTCTGTTCTTCAGCTTTCCAAGTATTTTACGAACCTGTGTGTTTATATTAAGTTCTTCATTTGTGGTAATTTCTGGTGTTTTCGATTCTACCGTCGTTTGTTCTTCCTCTGCACAGAGTTTTTTTAGGTAGTCAATCCAAGTATCCTTTTGTATGTGTTGTGGTTCTATTAGTTCCTTCACCTCCATCTTTGACGTCTTCCTCCGTCTTCCTTTTGCAGACCATAAAAATCATGTTCCATTTCTATAGAAAATCGTTGCCAGTGACCATTTTTTATTTAGTGCATGTGTTTCGTTTCTTATTTCAGGTAAGCTTTTTTCTTTTCTTCACATGTTTTTTTCACTTCTGCAGAAGTGATTTGATTTGAGAGTGCTCTAACTCTCTATTCGACAGAATATAGTCTATCATAGATCCTCTAGTGTTTTCAAAAATGTATTTGTATGTTCTTAGTGGGGAAAATGTAATTTTGTATATTATCGCTAAACAGAACTTAAAAGTGTGAAAGCAGATGTAACTCTCAACTTCCTTACTCGAAATTGCTTAGATAAATGCAACCAATAACTATATCCAAATATTCACACATTTACACAAAAGACGATGCAGGACAATTGCTCACAGACGACGAGGAGATAAGCCGCCAATGAAGAAAGTATTTTGAGCAACTCTTAAATACAGAAAAACCCACAACGACAGGGCAACAAAGACAGTACCAGTTAGCCGAACCTGAAATACCAGGGCCCACACTAGCTGCAATAAGTCCAGCAATTTCGTCCCAAAAAAACCATAAAGCCCCAGGCCCAGACGGCATACAGGCGGAACTACTAAAAAAGGGGGAGAAAAGCTCCACCTTGAGATATATCATCTTATAAGAGAAGTCTGGGAAAGAGAAGAAATACCGAAACACTGGCATGAAAGCCATATAGTACCTATCCACAAGAAGGAGACAAACAAATATGTCGGAACTATAAAGGAATATCGTTAATCAATACAACGTACAAAATTATATCCATAATACTGTCTAGAAGACTAACTCCATACGCAGAGGAAATAATAGGCGACTACCAAAGCGGATTCAGACCGGGAAGGTCGACCATAGACCAGATATTCGTCCTACGCCAGGTGTTGGAAAAAAACTGGGAATTCAACCGCGATGTACACCAAATCTTCGTGGACTTTAAACAAGCTTACGATTCTGTTAGCAGAGAAGCATTGTGGGAGACCATGGTAGAAATGGGAGTACCTGGAAAGCTGGTACGATTAGCTCCTCTCGCCCCCCTGCTATATTTTGCACTGGAACATGCGGTAAGGAAAGCTCAACCACAACTGACAAACGGATTTGCCACCCAAGGATCAAAAATACTATTGGCGTTTGCGGATGACGTGGACACAATTGCACAATCCACCAGAGATGCAAAAGAAGTTTTCACCCTATTCGAAAACGGAGCCAAGGAAGTTGGTCTGAAGGTCAACGAGGACAAGACCAAGTACATGGTGGTTACGAAGAACCCAAGGCCAAGGGTTAGACAAAACGTAACAATCAATGAATACAACTTTGAAGTCGTCAAAGAATTCAAGTACCTGGGAGCGATCATAACATCTGAAAATAAATATGAAAAGGACGTGGCAGCCAGGATCATTGCAGGAAACAGGGCATATTACTCATTAATGACCGTACTTAAATCAAAAATACTCTCATACAAGCAAAAATAAGTCAGGTCCAGGAGCTTAATATCAGTTAACAGATATTACAGCATAACAAGCAGATATCTATTAAAATAGTAGAAAGACGAAGAATACCGACATATTTTGTTATTTACGTTAGATCTTATTGTCATTCGCAGTTTGTTTGTCTGTTTTAATTATATATGAATATTGGTTATCCATATTTTTATGTGGGTTTGTATTAAACCTATATATAACCAAAAAAATATTCTGATTCTTTTCATTGTTTAATGAACGACGTTAACTAATGATTTTTGCACGTCTACAAACTTGCATAAAAAAAAGAACTATGTTCTAAACTGCGTATCATCGAAATAATTTCTCTTAAAATCTTTATAAAAACATAGTTTTGTTTTAGATATTTGAATTAAAAATAAAAATATTGAATTTTTATTATTTTAACTTTCATTTTTACTATATGATACATAAAAACAACTAAATAAAATCTGATGAATTTTAGGTTACAGCTGCCTTTGCAAAAATTGGCGAAAGAGCTTCAAGGGAGCATTTCGGTGCACTTACTCAGGCTACACAATTACCTCTTTATTGGAAAACACCTTTATATTTAGCTGCTTGTGCAGATAAAGGTAGCTGTACTTTGGAGCAGTTTATGAATTTCTGGCAAAGGTAAGAGGTAATACTAACTACTTTTGATTTGACGATTTTATGATAAATGTGTTATTTTCATAATTATTGACCTTCGTTTTACTGACTTCAAGCACCATTAGTACTCAAATAATCATATACAGGCTGCTTAAATCCACTTGTTGTGAGATGCACAGTGGTTTTTGATGGGCCAGTGTAAGGAGGCGCTCTTTTCTCTCAGCGGCGAGACTATCTTCTTTTTCTTGACATGCTCTCTCTCCTTGATTTGCGCACATTACAGCTAAAATAAAATTGGGCCATATGTACTTGTTTATGCTGAAAAAATTCGTATGTAAGTCAGTATACCGTCCAGTTTATATTGGAGAATTACCTCAAAAGATAATACCACATTTTCAGAAACTACAGCATCTACTGTTTATTTTTCTTATGTCCAATACTTTAAAAAATCGTTATCAGGACTGTGTACATCGCAAATATTAAATACAATTCATTTTAGGTACTATTTTTGTTTTGGCGGATACTATATCTACATTTTTTTATGTACACTTTACCTCTTCAATCAGACACTAGTGTGTCGGTTTTGATAAAAGTAATTTGTTTAATAGAACTTTCTAGATTTAGTCCCAATTTAAATTATGCTGCTTCTGATATTAAAAGAAACCTTTAAAGGCGTCGGCCTATTTTCATTTATTGTGCTAAGAAACCTTTCAGTGCTAAGTCTAAATCGCTTTATCCAATTGTATGAAATTAAGTGTAATAGCTAAATACCAATTGGGGTTATTCAGTTTATCTTTAAAGCAGTTTTCAAAAGGTCGTCGGGTTATTTTTAATGACGATCTAATTATAAATTACAAGCGGATATTGATTAGTTTTGTTTCCTTTTATATATCTCCAAGCTTCGAAGATCTGTTTTATCAATATTTTGAATTACGATACAAATTTCTATAAATTAGACACTATTAGTTTTCATATTGAAACCCAGGATCAATTTACCTTCTTTCTTTCTTTCTTTTTGTAAACATTTGATGGAATTTTGTTTATTTATATTAATTTTCTGGATATTTGAATGACTATTCAAATCCTAACATAAAAACGAGATCATCAAATTATTATACAGTGTGTCAATTTTAAAACTTACATTGGGCTATATCTCACGAACAAAAGCTATTATCGAAAAATGCTTGAAACCGTTTCTAGGATAGAATAGGGGAAACTAAAATGACATGAAAGAGAACTGATCCCCATCAACCCCCTAGGCCCCACCCACCACAACCTAAAGTTAATGCAACCCTACTTCAAAACCTGGTTTTGAAGTAGGGGTTTGAAAACCTGTTTTTTTAAATCATCTTGGTAAAGGCCTAAGAAACCTTCGAACATCCTGCTTCATCACTTCAGGCAGGGTCATGCGTGATGGAAAGAGTCTGCAAAAATGAAAACTAAAATGCCACTGAAGCATCATTTATTGTTGGTTTGCACATTGCAAAAGCTGGAAACCCATTGCCGAGGAACTATCATTTATTGTTGGTTTGCACATTGCAAAAGTTGGAAACCCATTGCCGAGGAACTGGTTAAACCATACAATGCATGTTAGGTCCAGATATGACTAAGAATATTGATAATGTGCAGATGTCACTACCCAAAATACGGGTATGGGTCACTTCAATCGTTTGCTCCACACAGAGGTCCGGTGGCTATCAAGGGGAACAATTTTAGGGAGACTAGTTGATCTAAAAGATTTACTGATTATCAAATTTACATAGGAGTCAATGTATCCAATAATTAAAAGATGTCAATTGACTGCTAAAATTAGGATACCTTTCAGACATCTTTGAAATAATAAATAAAACCACCACTTCGCTTTAAGGCAAAGCAGGAGCACAATTAGATACAATCAAAGCCTTGCGTAAAAAAGTTACATTTTTCAAAGCATGTGTTGAAAAGAGGAACCTCACAAATTTCTCTCGATTACAGGAATTTGTTATAACAAATGAAATCAATCCTTAAACGAACTTCTTTGAAATGTTTATTGCTCATTTGCAAGGTTTGGAAGAAAGTATTGTAAACTATTTTCCTGACATTGACTCAGATGACTTATATAGCTGGATGATGGACCCGTTTTCGTGCGACCCAAAAAATAAACCTGTCGAAATGACAAATGAAGTTTTTCAAAATCTACTTGACGTCAGCGAAGATAGCAGATTAAAACTCAAATACCGTGAAGGAAGCCAAGAAGAGTTCTAGATGCAGGTATATTCAGAAAATAATGTTGTTGGCAAGGTTGCAGTGAAAAAACTTGTGTGTTTCACATCGACTTATCTCTGTGAGTCTTCTTTCTCCGCATATGCTTACATTAAAAACAAATACAGAAGCAAACTTCAAGCATCAAGGGATTTGAGAGTCAAACTTACAAAGATTCCCATAATTATAAAGGATATAATGAAAACATCATCGAAACAGTTTCATTTATCACATTAAGTAAGGATGTTTGAATATCAAATGTACCGGGTTTCTCATTATATTTTCACCCCCACTTATTTTCCTTAATTTCGGGAATACAAAAAAAATCTAGTAAAAGTTGTATTATTTTATCTGTACCGACCAACAATGTAGCAACAGACCAAATTTTGTATACAGGGAGTGCCCAATAAAATGCATCTTCAATATTTCAAATGGGACACCCTGTATTTTTTATAGTTTTGAGTAGCCCTGCATTTCTGATTACCAATATATAACATTGTGTAGCATTAGTTTTGTTCTATAATGGCATATGGTACTACAAACGGGTAACCATAGGTGGCTATGCAACTGACATTTCAAAATGAAACAATTATTAATTTATTATAAACTGTCAGTCCTCATACCGAAATGGGTTATACTGCAGATGAAAAAGTAGATATATTCTGAATTTATGTAAAAAATAATAAAAACAAGCAAGCGGCAAGAAGAGAATATAGGCTGATTTATCCAGATCGACAGACTCCTTCTGCAAATACATTTTTATATAATTATCGTCATGTCATAAATGGAAAAATGTTTGAACGGAAGAAACGTACTATCGTAGGAAATGATGATGAAGATCTTAATACTTTGCTTTACTTTGAAGGTAAAAATTAAATACTTAAATAATAGATTAAATCCATAATAACATTTTTATTTTAGAAAATTCCGAAACTAGTCTAAACAATGCTACTAATCCATTAGAGAAAAGCCGTGCGACGATACATAGAGTTTTAAAAAAGCACAACTATAAGCCGTACAAAATATTACCGGTACAAGAACTTACCGATGTTATAAGAGAAAGCGTTTACAGTTCTGTCAAGACATGCTTACAAATTTTAACAATGATCCTAATTATTTTTATAACATGTTATGGACAGATGAATCAAATTTTTCAAAATTAAGCAAATAAAAAAGTCAGTAAGAAAATCAATAAATGTGTGGTGTATTTTAAAACAAAATAGTTGGACCAATGTTTTATGATTATTATAAATTAACTGGAGATTCATATTTGGACACAGTCATTACAGAAGTGGATGAGTTATTAAATCAAAATTATACACAAAATATACCGCCATATAATGTCGCAGCCGTTCAAGAACATTTAAATAATCAATTTACTGTGTGGATCTGACGCATTAGAAAATTTGAGACGAAGATATTACTGGTGCATTCATAACAATGGAGGGCACTTTGAGCATCTATTGTAATCTTAAATGTAGTATTGTATCTTAAATGTAGTATTGTAATTCATTAATTTTGTTGACTTTCTAAATATATTTTTTTCTTATCTTAGTATAGTACCGTAGTACCATATGCCATTATAGAACACAACTAATGCTACACTATGTTATATATTTGTAATCGGAAAATGCAGGGCTACTCAAAACTATAAAAAAATACAGGGTGTCCCATTTGAAATATTGAAGATGCATTTTATTGGGCACTCCCTGTATACAAAATTTGGTCTGTTGTCAAATAAGTGGGGGGTCAAAATATAATGAGAAACCCTGTACTGTATTTTATTGATCTGAAATAAAGTTTATATTGAAATCAAATGAGCCGAATTGTATTTTTTTCATTTTTTGTCGTTTCCCAAGTCGCTTCAAGGATTTGTGTGCCTCGAAATATTTTTAGCCCTACAAGGGTGCCGCGACTAAAAAAGTTTGAGAACCACTGCAATAGTGTATTAATGATCAGGTATTCAATCAATTCATGTAAACGATATACAAATATTCGAGTATTTTATAACTGGCAATGAAAAATTATTTCTAATTGTAATATTTTAATATCATGTATACATATACATATATAAATTAGAATAACAATATTCTAATGTATATCTAATATATAATATATTAAACTGTGGGAGCAAATCTGGTAGTAATTGTCTATGGTGAATCTGTAGTAAGAAACAATTAGGTAGTCCGCCAAAAAATATCAAAAACCAGAAGAGAAACACCAACTCACTGCTACAATAACAGCGAGAAGCTAAGTAGCTCCTCAAGCAAAAACTAACGAAACATTATTGGATGTTAATCTCTTCACACCGTTATTTGTACATTAACGATTCTTTTATTGCGACATTAAGTTTTAGTTCTCTTAATGCAATATTAATTACCTGATTAAATTATTATAACGATTAAATTTATTTATAAATGTGTTTTTATCTGATTGTTAATAAAGATTATAAAAAAGTATAATAGAAATATCAAATTACACCCATCTGATAGTTACTTTTGACCATTCTTCCTATTTTTTTATTTAAATATTGACTTTGTTTTATTTTTCAGTATGTCTTCACAATGCCACGATGGAGCCAGTCGTTTCATATATATTCTTACACGAGGACGTCGTAGTTGGCTAGCTCCCGAAGACTTTATTCCTTTGGTACAAGACGTTGTCGAAACACATCCAGGCCTAACTTTCTTAAAGGAAGCAACCGAGTTTCACTCAAGATACGTACATACGGTTATCGCTAGGATCTATTACTGTGTCAATAGGTAAGTATTATAAGTTCTTTAAGGACTACTCCTCTAAATTATTTATCGTATTAAATTATCTGCTTCTTAAGTGCCTATCTCTATGGATCACATTCGACCACATTACTCTATCTACTGCCGCTCTGAATGAACATGTGCATGTCAGTCCCGTCCATGTTTAAAGGTTTCGCATTCACGATGTTCCTTTGTGTCTTACCGACCTCAGCGCTGCAAAATAACTGCAGCAGGTGGTACTTGATGCGTTGTTAAAGGGTTTCATTAGATATATGACATATCAATGGGAGTCTAAGCATTCGTCGATAGCACCACATGTCGAACCCATTTATGCGTTTACATGAAGCATCTGTGAGAGTCCACGCTTCTGTTGCGTAAAGTCCAGAATACAAAGCACGTTACTCATCGTATTGAATGTGCTTGTTGGTTATTCGACTCGGCATCGTGTTGCTCTTAAATGTTCCCAGTTTTTATTTAAGGAACAACCTGAGTAAATTGTAACTCCAACGTCATTTGTACGGATAGTTAGTGTTTGTTTTTTTAAGTTTATTTTCATAACATATTCACAGAAAGTGGTCGCTATACATAGCGGTCGTTTATAATCCCCGAAGTCCCCCTATACTATCCGCTATAAGGACATGTCATCCGCGTACCTGAGGTTGTTCATCTCCTCTCTGTTTATTAAAATTCTATCTTCTTTGTTGTATAGTGCTTCTTTAAATATGTGTTCTGCGTAGACGTTAAAGAGGAGGGGCAGTAGTACACAACCCTGACGTGAACCCATGTTTCACTCTTAACCCGTACAATGGCCTTTTGTTGTATATTATATAGCTTGGATATTTTATCTACTTCTCCGTCGTCTTTTCCCGACTATTGTAAAGATGAGATGCTTTACGCTATCGAAGACTTTTTAAAGATGATTAAGTGCGCGAAGACGTCTATATTGACATCACGCGCGTTACGTAAATAAGGACTTGTGTGGAGAAGGCAGCTAAACTGAAATGGAAATGGGCTGGACATAACGAACGTCTTACGGATGGCCGATGGAATAAAGAAATCGGGTATTGGCGGCCATATGAAGCCAAAAGACCACGAGGAAGACCGCAAATGCGATAGAGCGACGATATTAAAAGAACTGCAGGGCCAATGTGGAAACGTCTTACAAACAACAGAGATGAATGGCGAATAGAGCCTCTCGGATGCCGAGCCCCCTTCTATAATCAAATTGTCTGTCGCTTAGCTTTTCGTCTTGCTCTTTATATACTCGTTAAGAAATGTAAAGTTAAGTAAAGATCATAATAATCATCAGATTGGTTATTATGATCGGAGTATTGATTTGCGTTCGTCTTTTTGGGAATCGAAATGAATGTTGACAGCAACCAATTATTTGGTATTTATACGCTTATGTTGATTTTATTAAGCAGGGCCATCAACATTTTTATTATATCTGTGTCAAGTAGTTTAAGAACTTCTCCCTGTATCTGGTCGTGATCGGGAACTTTGTTGTTCTTCAGTCTTTCGATAGGTGACTGCACCTCTGTCTGTACAGTGGTTCCTCCTTGCCGCTCGCTGTCATCATGGTATTTGTGTCTTAGTCTAATAGTTTATCCATGTATTATTTCCATATTATAGGTTTTTTGTCAGTTTCGATAATGATGTTGTGGTCTGAGTCCAAAATTGTTCCAGGACTTCGTCTTTAATATGTTATCATTTCTTTTATTGTCTTATTGTTTCTATTGTCGAGCTATGGATTTTATTGTCTAGCTCTGGATGGTAAGTTTTACAGGCTCAGATACTTTATCCAAGATTAAATTAAAGAACCTAGTGCTTAATGATTACCCTATATTATTCCATCGCTTGTGTCTAAAGGTTCCGTAATTTGTCTTCCGTAATCTATTTTGACTTACCTTTTGTTCTTTTGTATAATGTTATCAATAGTTTTTATGATATCAAGAAATTTCGATATTATACAAATATGAATACATATTTGAGTCTTATCTGGAATATATTTATAGTTCATTGGTATCCATCTTTACTGCAACTTATCTTTAGTTCAGTTAAATGTTTTTTGAAGTTCCTACTTATTAACTTCTTCGTTTGTGGTGCTTTCTGGTGTTGCTGGTTCAACATAATTTGTTATCCTTCAGCTTCTTTAAATACTTAATATTTTCTATGTGTTTCGGGTCTATGAGTTCCTTCATTTCCAATTCTTTTTTTTTTTTATTGAAGTTCACGTACAGTCTATCTATGTTTTTTTCTCTGAGTGTTCTGATGTTTGCTAGGAAATAAGGAATTTGCCTTTCAAGTACCGATTCTAAGTACGTAAGTACGTTGTTTGTTTGTCTTGAACTATTTGTCATTTTTTTCGCATTGGCCGTCATGTGGGTTGTCATATGTACTTATAGTTGATCAGTAGAATGTTAACCTCGCTGGAAACTCTTTCCTCTTTTGAAAGGGCTCGAGATATTGACGAAATATTATATATTTCGTAGTAGGTGAATTTGAAGCTGAAATAGAGAGCTATATAGATAAGATACGATTAAGAAAGCAATCGAGAAACAGTAGAAGGTAAGCCACTTGAGCTCACTTTGATCTCCGCGGCTTGAACCGAATATGCATCCGCTTCGCACATATAATTATTTTATTATGAACTACGGGTGTCGCTATTTTCTAAACAATTTCTATTTATGTGTAACAGGCAAATTTTTCACCATCATATTGTCGAATGTCGTTTTAAAATATAATAATAACCATTTTAATTAACTTAAATACTTTACCCATAGGCTATATCAAAGTTGCAGCTGAATAAAAATAGAATTAATTCTAAAACTTAGGTTGCATGATTTAATTTTCATTGTATTTTAGGTCTTGGTCGGGTAAAATAACAACTTCAGAATTGAGACGCTCCAGTTTGCTGAACATTATCCAGTTGTTAGAGGACGAAGAAGACATCAATCAGATCACTCAATATTTCAGCTACGAGCACTTCTATGTGATTTATTGTAAGTTTTGGGAACTCGACAGAGATCATGATCTATTTATCGATAAGCACGATCTTACTAGACATAACGATCACGGTAAGTTTAAGGTAAAGTCCTAATATGTATTATATATATTGTAGAGTTTGTAGATTTACAAACCAAATATTTGATTCTGTTTTTTTATACACATTTTTTTTTATAAACAAAAAGGTTTTTATAATAAAACCACAATATCTGGACGAAATGTATAGTGAGAGCTCTGTATTGGATTACAATTTAATGAAAAATATATAAATAGAAAAGCCAACTTTACCAAATGTGTTTAAAGTAAAATCAGGAAACTCACTTAGAGAAGATAATATTGATGATGAAAGTGGTTCTAACTGAGATGATACTTAAAGAAGTAATTCATCAAATAAATATCCAGAGCAGATATTTTGATTTTTGATTGTGAGTGAGAGAGTAAAAGCTCAGAAATGCTCGGGTTCGAATCTAGCCGAGAATGGATTTTTTTCTAATACATAACAAGACTTCCGTCTTCATCGGATCGGTAGTCTCCCGAGGGCGGAGGCTTGCGTCGCTCGGATATGATAGTACACACATTGTACTTTTGATAAGAACCTATTTATGATTATATAACAGAAAAAATACAGAATGTAAAACCTCTTTTAATATGAGACCACTTAAATTAAGAAACGATATGTACGGACATGTCAGAAGAGCGGATTCAGGATGCTGGATAAATACAATTACAAAATTGATAGGAAGAAGAAAGGGAAGAAGACCTCAAACATTGTTTAGACACGAAGATGCAAAGAAGAAACTTGCAAGATTGAAGTTGATAAGATAAAAAGAGCTGTAGACAACGATTGAGAGACTAATTATAGTGGTAACTGAAATCCTTGGTAATAAGTATGTGAGTGTTTCCACTCAAAACTAACGTAATATATAACAACAATATAACAATATTAATAAATGTAAATGCAAAAAATTATTTTAGAGATTCCTAAATAGTTTCCACAATTTTATTTACCCCTTTTTCTGCATTTCAGCCTTATCCACTCGCATAATCGACCGTATTTTCTCGGGTTGCGTCACAAGAGGCCATAAAAAACACCAGGACGAGCGTATGTCGTACACGGATTTCGTTTGGTTCCTTCTAAGCGAAGAGGACAAACTTCATCCGACAGCTATCGAGTATTGGTTCCGGTGTATGGATTTGGACGGCGACGGTTATCTTTCGATGTACGAATTGGAATATTTTTACGACGAGCAAATGCATAGGATGGAATCGATCGGAATCGAAACGTTGCCTTTTCAAGTAAGTCCATAGAGTTAATTTTTAAAGTAGTTATATTATTGCTTCGATAAGTATTGAACACAATTTAATGTCTTGAAACGTTTCAATCAACCAAGTGAACGTGACAACAAGCTCCGCTTGATACTTGGCCCACGTTGGGCGCCATTTTGTAACGTCTTAATCTTATTAATATCAGGGCGTTAAGCAACACCACACTGCTGGAAGAAACGAGGGGAGAAATTCTTTGAATATCCCTAAGGATATTCAAGAGAAAAACGCCCACCGTTTCATCCATCAGAATGGTGCTCTGCCCTACTGTTCATTCTCTCCCCACACCAATCCCAAAAAGGTACAGGAAATAAAAAAAAACTTACGAAGTCATAGTAAAGGTATATATATATATATATATATATATATATATATATATATATATATATATATAATATATATATATATATATATATATATATATATATATATTTATTATTAATAATATAATAATATATATATATATATATATATATATATATATATATATATATATATATATATATATATATATATATATACAAATAATACAGTTTATTAGGGTTGCAGTCAGAATCTTGGCCGGGATGTTAAAAAAACACTCTTTTGACTTTTTGTCGAGCTTTCGGAATGGTTTTATTCCTTTTTCAAGACACTGTAAAAGACAATTATGTAAATATTTGAAAAATATCACAATTCTTCAGTGTAACTTACTAGTCGTTGAGATTATTTTTGTAAGCATTTACACTCAACATTTATACCACACATTAAAATATACAATTATGGACATAATACATCATAAAATTTTTAAAATTTGTTGTAAAAATAGTAATATAATAGTAATAATAGTTTTACTATTTTTACAACAAATTTTAAAAATTTTATGATGTATTATGTCCATAATTGTATATTTTAATGTGTGGTATAAATGTTGAGTGTAAATGCTTACAAAAATAATCTCAACGACTAGTAAGTTACACTGAAGAATTGTGATATTTTTCAAATATTTACATAATTGTCTTTTACAGTGTCTTGAAAAAGGAATAAAACCATTCCGAAAGCTCGACAAAAAGTCAAAAGAGTGTTTTTTTAACATCCCGGCCAAGATTCTGACTGCAACCCTAATAAACTGTGTTATTTGTTTATATCGACAGTCACTAATATCCAGTATTTCTTGTATATATATATATATATATATATATATTAAATAATAATAAACAAAATTCATATTATTTTGAATGTGAAACAAAAATAAATTTTTAAACTGAGACTCAAAGATTCTGCCGGTTGTCGGTATAAAATAATTAAAGTATAAAAAAGTACTCAGCTTTAGTTCGTTCTGAAGGAGTCGTTCTGTTCTCCAGGAAGGTTTCCGATCGTTGTGGAAGTTTCCGCTGTCGGTGGTTGTTGGTTGGGTTAAGGGGGTTGTTTTTCTAGATTATAGCAATCATTTTTATCCCCAGGTTGGTAAATGGGTAGTGTTATCCCTAAGGTAGTGTGATTGGCTGTTGTTTGCTTTCCAAGGTAGTGCGGTTGGCTATTGCTTGCTCCCCATGGTAGTAGCCAGTGTAGCTAAGACACTAACCAATTTGTGTGACTAATGTTTCATTGAAGAGTGATTGTAATGATATGATTAAAAAGAGCGAATAAAACTTTGTATCGGCTTATATAGGATGGAACGGCTTTTTGTCTAAGAAGAATTGGGTTATTATAAAAGTGGTCCCTTTTTACATGTTGTGGATTATACAATATAATTTTGTACAAGGTTTGGGCCAGTATAGTATAGGAACATTTACGTAAAGTACTTTCTATTAAATACTATTGCTTACTAAGATCAACAGGGGTCCAGAGTCTGAGTCCATTCTACTGTCGGATGCGTCTAATTACTTAATAGATACAGAAAGTCACAAGCTTCCCTTAAGAGTATCTCCTTCATTTCAAGAGTTACCACCTCTGCTAACTCATTTGTCAGTAGCCAACAATGTCCACTGACAGAGGACATAAAGGGAGAACTCCTCATCGTATTAGACTACACCTTGGGTAGAATGGAACGATCATATAATCCGGATGACAACTAATAGAGTAGTAAAGACGGGAAGAGACGGTTCTCCAATAGGAAGACGATCAGTAGGAAGGCCACGAAAACGATGAAATGACAATTTACTGGAGGCACATTGAAAAACAGACAGAGTCATGTCTATATAAAAAGAAGAAGAAGAAGATATTATTTTATTTCTGGTATTTAAATGTTTTTTACCTGGTAAAATTTTCGTGCCTGGCTTTGTTCTAGTCCTATTCATCAAATTAAAAAAATTGATCTAATCGTCCATGGTTTGCACCCTTTATGTTCTTGATATGTTAGTGTCCTTTAAAAGTATATTATATTGTAGGACTGCCTTTGTCAGATGCTGGACATGGTGAAACCCAAGATACCTGGTAAAATAGCCTTAAGTGATTTAAAGAAATGTAGAATGACACCAATATTTTATGATACGTTCTTCAATTTAGAGAAATATTTGGATCATGAACAAAGGGATCCGTTCGCATCACAGAGAGATCATGACATCGATGGTCAAGAGGTAAGTAATGGCACAAACGATGTTTAATTGAACATATTAAATTATTTTGATCATTCTAGATGTCCGACTGGGATAGATATGCAGCTGAAGAATACGAACTATTGGTTGCCGAAGAAGGAGGAAACGACCAACCAGATAGTTTGTAAGTAATTATATTTATTTGACATAAAATATATTTATAGATAAATAAAATGCTTAGACAATAATTATTACACAGTAGTCAGGAAAAATAATCTTTTTGTGGTTAATATACATCAAGGTATGGTACTTCGCAATTGCAAGACAGAGCTTTAACACATAGAGTACCATGCTGGATATAACGTATCCACCACTTTCAAGAAAAAAAAATCCACAGTGACCGTGGAGGTCATGCGATATGCACGAGCTTAAAGTTTATGTTTACCCACGGTGGATAACGGAAATGCACCAAACCACTGACTAATGCATATAAAGAGGTTTATAAAGCATATACAAAAAAGGTAGTATAGTTGGTTTTTCTGTTGCACACATGACAAGTCCCTACAAATGGTCAAAATTTTTTTAGCCAAACCCAATAGATATTCATATTTTTTATTTAGAAAGATAAAATTATGTGGCAACAAGGGCCTAAAACTGGTTTTTAGAGACAATATTATGTTTTAGAAAAAAAAAACAGTTCAAGCAAAAATATGCCTCGCAGGACTGGCACCGATATTTAGTTTTTTTTTTGTATTATTCTTCGCTGACTTCCTATCCATAAATGCAACATTTTCTTTGTAGCAATTTGTACAAATTTGCCATTTTTCCATGTCATTTAAAGAATGATTTTAGTTGAAACTTCTTGTGGGCTTCTTCTTATTTTGTCAGAACTAAAAAGTCATAACATGTAGATAGTAATAATTGGTATTGAAATCTGACTTTTTACTTTTTATGATGTTTTCCCTGAATTTTGTTATTGTCATTTCGTTACTTCTCGATGTAATACGAAAGCATTAACAAGAGTAGCATCAACAATAAGTTCCACAGCCAACTTTGTATACCATTTCATGCTTTTTCGAAGAGAGGAATTTCACGACTTCTTTGATCTGAAAAATAAAAGTAGTGATAATTGTATAGGTACTTCTAATACCAAAACTAATGTTACATGGTTGAAACAATTCGAGTAATACATACCTGAAAGATCAATATAACTTTTATGTTTGTTGTATTCTATTACTGTTTTGGGTTTTTGGACTGGTCCTCTTCATTTTTCAATTGTAATCATATCCCGAATGTACTTAGTATTCATAAGTAGGATATTTTGTTCTTTTACTTCACCACAAATATTCATGTATCGCTTTGTTGCATGATTAGTTGGCCTTTCTGTAACTTGGTTGTTATAACTATATCAGGATTGTTTTTTCTGTTTTTGCGTAATGTTTCTAAGAGAATTGTTTGTTTTTCTAGAAGAGCATGAGCAACTCGACGTTGTCACTCACTCGAATAGTCTGAAATCATTGGTGGATACCGCTTCTCCACCATGGCTTCACAGTAAACATTTATCAGTATTGGCCATGGTGGATACCCGTTATCCACCAACAAAAATAAGTAAATATTGTCAAGGAGACATATTTATTCCAACAAACATTGCCTATACGTGTTTAGAGGCGTCATAAGAAACAACATTTACGAAAAAAAATTGTGGTTTCTGGCTCCTGATAGTTAACCTTACAAATGAGTGTTTGGATGATAGGTAGTTCGAATGTTGGTGTTTTTTTATTGAAAGAAATTCTGTTGTCAGTTGGGTCACTACATGCTTTAGGTGCTACGCTGTTGGGAGAATTTATTCATCAAAATGGGCTTAAACTCAAACAAAATTATTATGACTGAATAGGTATTTTCAATACCTTTCAAACGAGGTATCACTTGCCATAAGGTCCCATTTAAAATTATCTGTCACATTGGCGCTGTAACGTCATCTGTCACTATTACGTCACCTGTTATGACTAGTTGAGAAGCCTATGTCTGTTTATTACTTCCCTCATAAGTATAACCGTTAAAAAGATACGAAGGGGGGAACGGACTTTTGACTAGCACTGTAGTTATTTAACTAATTAAAGTATGTGGCAACATATTTTCAATATAAAAATTTTTCAATTTTGGAAATATTTGCTTCCAAAATTCCGGCTCGGCTTATATCACTAAATTAATGTAATACTTAAAAATACGCGTAAACTAAAGAACTTCTAACTTATACCACTTAACTAATAATATATTACAAACATATCCGTAAACTAAAGAATTTAAATGTTTTCAAAATAACTAAGAATACTGTAAACTGTAAAAAGTAAGCAAGTTGATAAAGAAAATACAAGAATGAATAACTGAAAATGGATTCTGATTAAAGCGAACAACTGACCGTACGTTCATGAGATTTGACGTCACGAAGGCGATAACGATGAAACTAAGCGCCAATGATGAGTAACACGTTTCACTATTAGATTTCAGTATTTTTTAGCAATTTTCTTCAAAGTTGGAACACGCTTTTCTCGATTATTACTGAACACAGAAAGGTGAAAAAAAATCAACGATTACAGAAAAAAAAATCTTTCAAGTGATGAGCGTAAAAAGTTTGGTTATAATAGAACGTAAAACAGTATAATCCTATTTTTCAACAGAAGTTTCAAAAAAATAAAACAAGTAAAACCATCAGTTTAAAGGCAACATAATTTCGAATAACGCGTCCAAATTTCGAGACATTTTGTCGGTAAATAACAGAGAAAACACTGTCCTTAGGTTTTGGTGCACCGATAAAATAGCCTTAATTAATTTTTTAGTAGTTTTTTTTTGTTATTTGCGTACTTAGGTTAAGTTACATTTAAGTTGTTTTTTTATGTTTTGTTATTATTATCATTGTTCATTAAAACCAAGATCAAGTCGTTGCTTTTAATAATTATTTAAATACAGTGCTTCTGGGATGTCGATATGACATTCCTTCGATATCAGTTACCAAAGCCGCCATCGTCGTATTACAAATTAATACAAAAGATGATGGTAATAATAGGAAATTGTAGATGTGCAAAGTCATTTCGCTTCTAAGAATGAACCAATCCAAATTTTACATGAAACAAGAAACATAATACTTAGAAGACATTGTTGCAACCGAAAAACAAGGTTTTACGAAAATCTGCAAACGGAATTAATCCACAGGATGTTTCAAAGTTAGGATAAAAAAACAACTTTCGATTAACCCCGTATAATAAGTCAAATACAAAATTTTATTAAAAATTTCACTATACTAAATTAAAACTTATAAATTTTTACACAGTGTGCTAAAAAAATCATCAAAATAGGGCTAAAAATAAAAAAACTGAAATACTTTGAATTTGACCAAAATTTTCTCTGTTGCGTTTTTTGCATCTGAGTGTAAAAGGAAAAAATTCATAACAAAGGAAGTTTCCGATTTCTAAACGATCTAAGCATTTTATTTAACATATAAACCGTTTAGGATATATATTATATAATTTTGTTATTACTTTATTTTTCCTTCTAACTTACTTTGTACATATTTATATGTATTTAGTTTTTGGTGTTGGAAACTTTTTATTTCTTCTTGTTACTTTAATCATTTTTATCGTTCTTTCTATCGGTAGTGGTTAATTAATATTTTATGATTGTCTTTAGGGAATACGATTGTGGCTTTGATAGGGTAAGAACAGCATGTGTTTGATTTTCATGGAAGTAAATAATACGTATTAACCCAATTCACAAATGAACGTTTTGTTGAGAATGACACTAACATTAATTAACTTATTATGAAAGTTATTACCGCTTTAAGATAAATTCACTTGTTTATCCTTAAAAAATACTTCAGAATAATTATTAACGTGTTAGAGTATGCAGATGACACGGTTATTTTAGAATATTAAAATGTCTTCAGATCAATAATATTCTTTCTAGGGGACAGGGTTGTGGAATAAGACATCCCTATAGCGTATAGTATTGCATAAATAAATTTCGCTAGATCACAGCCTGGATTAATAAATAAACTCCATATTCTACAAATGTACTACCTGCTATGGAATGGAAAATACAAAAAACGCAAAAAAGTGTAAATTTAAAGCAGTAGTTCATGGTAACTTCGAGAGAGTTAGAATGAAGTAGTAGAATTAACAGTTAGAATGAAGCGAAAATAAGGCTTCAAGGCAGAATACCTATGCAAGACAGCAAATAGAAAACCTGGAAAAGATGAAGATATCAAACATTTGAGAAAATTTGGAAAAAATTGAAAATGGGAACAACAGAAAAAGTAGAAAGGGGACAAGCTAAGAACTAATCTATTGAAACGTAATGACATCAAGGGAAAAATATTAGGAAGTACTTATTACTACCCAATTAGCATTTAGATTAGAGATAGGCATTTACAAAATATTTTAGTAACTTTTGCTTAACAAACCATGCTATAAGGAGTCGGAAAATTAAGAATGGTATAATATTTATACTATAGTCACGAAATTAATAGAGGACGAAATAAAGAAGTTCGAAAGTCGATGGCCTAGGGGGGTTACACCCATTATTGATAGACCTTTTATTTGGCAGTGATAAATACAGGACTCTTGTCATCAATGCGACATTGAACATTCATGCACATAGTTCTTAAACGTTGCCTGAACGACTATAAGATTCTGATTGGGGTAAATACTTGTAACCTTTATATTTTTATTTGCAGCCCCAAAAGGGTCATTCATTTCTGAGACTTCTTCTGTACCAACCTTGTACTTTTTTATCCTTGTCGATTTTATTCCTACGAGTCGTAGGAGATGCTGTAAAATACGGCAGTGGTCCCATACCTTACGAAGGGTATAGTCCTCCAAAGTGCGCCAACTCTCTGGGCTATAGCTTACACAACATTTTCCTCCCTATAACATGCACGCAAAAACAAAATATTCATACAGGTACGTATATCTGCCTGTGTGTATGGATATTTTGTGTACGTGCGTGCATATGTGGGTATGTGTGTTATGTCAATTCTAGTCAATTATGGCAATCTAGTTACTTACATATCTGTAGCCTCTATATCATGTTTGATGTTGATCTGAAGATGTTTTTTTCGTTATACCTTATTCATATCTGTCCTATAGGACGTTCCTTATTAGCTATTAGGATATGTCGTGTCGGGAATGAAACT